CTTGAACCTTCGGCTCTAAAAAAGACTCCAGCATACAGAGAGGTGACGTCCTCCCATTCGAATGTTTTCCATATTTCTTTTGGTGGCGATTGTTGCGGAAACTGAACATAAGTGAAGCCAATCGGAATTAACTGCTCCTGTTTTTTCTCCAATTCTAAAATGTGGACACGGATGAGAAAGGTGTCGTTTTGTATGGCCTCAGTGTGTTTCTTGCATTCTCTGTTCATGAATGTCTCGATTTCGGTCACCTTACGTAGATTCTCTAAAATTCGAGTATCGTTTATAATGTTGATTCTGGTAGTTAATTCGGATGAAGTTTTTGTTACACGGACCTGCATGGTCGTAATTTGCGAATTGGTCCGCAGTGCAGCCAGATTTATTCGGCTGAGCGAAAGTGATTTCGGAGTAAACTTTTCGCCATTCCATTCGCTGACATTTTTGAGCTCGTTCAATGCTTCCACAATTTTTTCCTTTTCTTCTTTGTTCAGCGTGTCCAAGTTGATACTTCCTCCTGCGTTGGCGTTTACCAGACCCTCGAGAAATGGAATTCCTACATCGATATTACCGCTACCGGATTGTATCTTATGCATTTCAGTTTTAATTAACTCTTTAAGTTTATTGTCACTCTTGTTGAAGAAATCGTTTAATATTTTGGTTGTTTTATCTGGTCGTGAATTCTCGTTTTGCCAAAACACCGACTCCCACATTTGTGTCTCGAATATTTTTGTGGAAACCGTCTTCAATTTAAGGATGTTATCAAGAAGATTTGCAATGGTCACTTGCTGATCTTGACTTACAAACTCATCATCAACTACTTCCATTGCCATTACATTCGAAGCAATTTCCAAAGACAACCTTTTTGCGTCGTCTGCCTGCAGATAAACTACATCTCGATTGATAAACATTTGGTTCAACACAGTGAACAATGTCGAGGATTGAATGTGTTCTGATTTTATCGATAATAATCTTCTGATACTCTTCTGACTCTGTAGGCTGTAGTATACGACAAGATCAGAGAGTATGTGTTTCGGATTTGTTTTCATCGTTTCGGTAATTTCTTTACAAGTTTCTACAGTTTTGCATATCATACGAAAATCAAAGCTCGATGGCTGACTAGCGTAAGAAGTCCACTTATTGACCATTTCATATTCAGCTGAGTGCCCACTTGCATCCATACGAATCTCTTCAATTGGTAA